GCCTAAGATTATTGGCCTTAAGGGACCATTTCTCCACTACCAGGTCCATTGCAAATGAATGGTTTGCAGAACACGGAAGACCTATTGGCATGCGAAGTGTATACCGACGAATGAGAAGTTTTGGCTTGTTTTCATACCGGCCACACTGGGTCCTCAATTTAACTCGAGAACACCGACGTAATCGCCTTGAGTGGTGCAGACTCTGGGATCAGGAATGGAACAGTATTGTCTTTAGTGACGAGTCTCGATTTTGTTTAGGCATACACGATGGTCGTGCCAGGGTTAGAAGGCGACGTGGTGAAAGGAGGAATCCACAGTTTTTTTTTGAAAGACATGTTCATCACACTGTTGGAGTTATGGTTTGGGGTGCTATAGCTTATGGTTCCAAGTCACCTTTAATCTTCATCAGAGGTAACATGAACGCGCAGCGTTATATCCACGAAGTTCTAGAACCCCATCTTTTACCCTATCTTGACACCCTGGCAGATCCAACTTTCCAACAAGGTAATGCCCGACCACATGTTGCAAGAGTCACAATAGACTTCTTTCAACATAATGATGTCACATTGTTACTATGGCCACCAAGATCTCCCGACTTATCCCCAATTGAGCACGTGTGGGATATGATGGGTAGGAGATTGCTCAATTTGCAACATCCTCCTCAGACTCTAGAAGCACTTCGAGAGGAGTTGGTGGTTGCCTGGAATGAGATACCACAGGAGGACATTGACCACCTGATCAGAAGCATGCCTAGGCGCGTTGGAGAATGCGTAGCACATCAGGGTGCATCCACACATTATTAAAGGTCAAAGGGCTTTAGAGCAGTGCAATCATTTTGAAATTTTTATCATTTACTTATTATGCTTCATTAAGTACTTATACAAAATTTTATTAAAATAAGACCATCTAAACTGGGTGTTCGGATTTATATGTCACTTAGTATATGTTCCCAATTTTCCTAAGTCAAAATTATTAGATGGCGCTTATATGACCTCATTAACATTTCTTCAAAAAATGACACGTTGATGCATAAAGGTTCGTCTGCCCTATACCAACTCCCTACAAGCCCCTACCTCAATTTTTCACCACTAATTTTTTTAAAAAATAATCCCTCTATAACGTCAAAAAACTAAGGTTGAGCGAATTTCATTTTTGTCGTTTACTACAAAGCTATCTCGCCCTCCGCATAGTAATAACCTTTTGTGAAAAAAATGCGAGCGGCACTTCCCAAGTTATAGACGGGCCAAGAATTACCAAATACACCGACAGACAGACAAACAGAGAGACAGACAGGTCGACGGAAATGACTGATGTGATTTTTCGTCCAAAAAAAATAAATTTTTCGCAATTACAATACTTCCTCGCCCAGTGGCTTTGATGGATGCTAGGCAATGTTGCTGTTGTCATGAACGTCTTATTGAATTTCGGTGATGGTTTGTTTGCCTCGGCAATAGGGGACAGGTACATTTTTTTAAACGTTGACACCCTGTATCATGGATTCCAGACTTTTCAGGGTACATGATTATATGAAGTTTCCTACATAATTGTTTTAGACACGCTCTTGTAGTTACCGTCTATCCTTAAGTAGCACTCGATATGAATTTATTAATTATGCAGTTATCAATACATATTCTTCGATGCCTATTTGCTCGTTACGTGGGTTCTACTAGTATATAGTCTACAGCGACGAAGATTAGAGATAGGAGACTAAACTGTGTAAGGGATACATGTATTCATATCATATCAAATATTAAGCCAATCCTCTCGCCAAAAGTGGTGTGTCTCTCGAAATTATAGTGGGCATAAAACATGGCGTAGAGCGTCTGTTCATCTTTATGTGCGATTCGCTCACGTTCTTCCATACTTTGTAGATTTATCACTTGGTGGTTTATTAATATTATCCAACATTTCGGCTTGCAACTCGTCCGAACTATCAAAATTAGAGTTGTTTACTGCCAACAGAGAGAGAGAGAGAGGGGGGGGGAGAGAGAGAGGGAGAGAGAGATGCCACATGCGCAGAACCTGAAATTCATTTGGTACGCAGGGAACCAACTCACTTCATCATCGACATTTATGCTTCACGCGCAGTCCATGAGTTAAACTTACTATCTCTAGACTTGATGGCCACAACCTAAGCAGCTTGATGAATTTCGACTCATTGGGTATCTTGACAGTGCAAGTGACACTGAGCACATTAAAAATGTATAAAATCGAAATGGCGGATTTTAAACACAAATCCTAGGATTGTGATTTCTGTTGCCCAAATGGATTGATTCTTTTCTGTTGCTGCACTCGGGATTTATGTTTCGTAATGCACTTGTATAATATATAATTATTATATTTATATACTACTCTCAAAAACATCGCGTTAATGGATGTGGCAATTTTATTTCGATGCAGAATTATAGTTTCTTCGGTAAAAACAAAGACTGAACTTGAATTTTCAGCACACACCAGGTTAAGAATATTCATTTTAAAGTATCTTTTCGTTCAACCCTTCATAAGTCATTAAAATTTCATGGTACAGAGACAACAAAGCTGAATTGACAGAGTTGGAATCGAAATGAGTATCATTCGACATTCACATAAATATCACAATGCATTTGTTATGGACAAAGCGATTATTGTCATCATAATGGGGTTGCCTACAAAAAAACATATACGTACATTCACCATTAATCTGACATCCATCCACGAAATAAACTTCTAACTAATAAATAATTCCTGTCCAAGGATGTATGCATGAGTATTTTAACAGCAATTCACTGATTAACTGTGAAAGCTACCTGTCGGTCTTGCAAGAGATATCTTACAATCTTCGAAAGAGATACATTGCCACGTGGCTTATCTATAGTTACTATTTTCATAGTCTGCTCGTACCACTTTCAATAAACCTGCTTTCTGATATATTTATTCTGCATGTATTATGAGGTGAAGTAGATACTTAGGAATATAGCTCCACATTTAGATAGATCACTCCACATTCCTCACTTTCATTGAAATAGTATAGATTTTAATGATCAAATGAACTTAAGGAATTTCTATCGAAGTTATATCAGGCGTCCAGTCCAAAGATATTGATTATTTCATAATTTAGTCGAAATCATTTCGCTTTGCTCATAGGCCATCAGGGTGAGGCTATGAGGTGTCCCCATCTTTGAATTAAACGCCTCACAATATATGATTTCGATCAAACTTCCTCCAGGTAAGTTCATTTGCTCGTTAAGTTATACTTCGGTGTTCAGTGCAAAGATTTCACTACGAAGATGCTTAAAAATGTGTCACAAATGGAAACGAATATTTTATTATATATTATTCTGAGATGAAGTATTTACGAGTATAGTCATAAATGAGATAGATAGTGATAATATACTGCAAATTTCTATCAAAACTTTGCGATACAGCATATGATATAAAATGTTCAAAACGTTTAATGCAAACTGGGCTCTACTATATATTAGAGGCCGATTACAGAATTTTGCCAAGGTTTCAGACTCCCTATTTTAGCCTGCGAAATCTCCGATGTCCACGGAAACCTCTGGTCTGTTAGCGGCAGAAGTGTCTGATCCACCGACTTAGGGTGTCTAAATTTAAAGATAAAATTATATCTTGGCTGCTATGGCCTTCATGTATCGTTTTCAAAGTGGTTGTCCCCTAAGCCACTGGCTTTTGAGAATCGATGGACTCAAACAGACATTCATTCTTATCAAGAATGATTTGCAAAAAAGTGATCACTATAATATAAACGGCGGTATTAGTAAGCGTATAATAGTTAGTCCAAATCAAATGTACAGTTATCACTACCCTAAAATATAAAAATGAATAGAAATCATTAAATACTTAGGCATATATTTGGACTCTAGCATAAAGTGAAATGTGCAGATTATTTGGTTTGTGAAATTCAGATTTTTGGCTTATAAAATAAGACTTCTAAACGATATATAACTTTTTCACAACTACAATATGCCTTAATAGAAAGTCATCTGATTTACGGCATAACAGTGTGGGTTTGGGCTAACAAACAACTTCTAAATCAATGTGAATTGAGACAAAAACAGATATTGAAAATAATACATAATATACCAAAACATATCCGTCCGATGAACTAATCAGAAGCTGTGAGTTTTTTGACACAAGACAACTCTGTTACTGAGGTACATTACTTATACGTACCAAACAAGAAACATAAAAGACTTGACTGGAGTTCCAACACCAGAAAAAACTTTATTTCTAAGGTCTTTCTTTTTTGACTCCTAGATCGTTCCTTCTGAAAATATTTAAGCAATTTAAATGAATTTAAATGTGAACTAAAGAAGTATCTCGTATCTGTACCTCGAATAAAGATACATCAAGATACATACATTGATTTAAAAAAATGCAATCGTTTTTTCTTTGATTCTGGATAGCTAACAATGGGGTGGAATAGGCACAGAGCTGGAGGAGCTTAAGACGTATAGTGGAATTACGAAATATGCCGAAAATGCGAAGTTACAGATGCATGCGGTACTTATCTCAGAATCTTAGTCGCTGTATACTAGTTGCATATGAGGGTTAAGTTCTCGAGTGGCACAAAAACATTTTCTTTCTTCTTCCATATAGGAACCAGTACATCCCAGTTTCTGCTGTGGCTTGAGACATGGGATATTTTTGTGTGTTAGTGATATTATAATATATACAAGAGTATTGTTGATATTGATAGTGCTTAACATTTTTAATTAAAACATTGTTACACTATATTACCAAGTTTTATGATGGGCCCCCCTCACTCAAATATGTTGTAACGTTTGTGCCTAAAGATATACCCCCTACGCAGGTAACAGAATTCACAAGGGTCCCATGAACTACATTGCAACGCTTCGAATTTTGATCGAGAGAACCAAATATGCTTATCCCGATGTTATGTGAAGCAATATCGATCCTGTGGATATGATTCAGCCACAAATTTCTGTACAAACATAACTCGTTCAGAAAATGTATCAATAGAATTCTATCTATTCCAGGCCAATCACCTGCGGAAGGTAACGAAATACAAGAAAGACAGCCGATATTCCACAGCACGTGTCATACAGCCATGGCCAGCTGTCAAGCACACCACAAGTGCAGGGCGTTGATGTCCCCCGTATTGCATTATTGCGACCAACAGCGGTGCAACAGGAACGCATGCATGTCGGCGTTGCAGGCATTTTACAGCAAGCAGGATCTCATATGGAACATGGAAGTCGCGTTCTGTCTGTGCAAGTGAGTTACATTTTATTTCCCATCCCAATCGGCGGGGAACAATTACTGTAGTCGCGAAGTTCAAAAATAAGATATTATGTATTTTTAAAGGTTACACCACATGAAGATCATGAAAAATCATGCCGTTCCTTTCCGCCGGAAGGTATGTCTAAGTGCCTGTCAGTCCGCTAATTCATGGCCCCTCTTCAACTCGGAAAGAACCGCTCGTATTTTCAAGACGAAAAATCTATGTAGGCTTTGAAAATCATCCTGTGTCGCCAAAACGATTAAAAAAATGCCGTAAGGTTGCCCCATTTCCACCAACTTACTGATAACAGAAATCGAAGCTATAGTCTTAAGCGTTAGACTTCGTTTTCTGAGAGAGGCTCTACAACACTGTGGTCTAAGTTACCCAGCAGAAACAGGACCGCTGTGCTGTAAGGAACCTACTGGCGTGTTAAGAAACGCGGGGGACAAAAGGTAAGTCTCATTAAAGGCAACGAACTCTACGAAGAGAACTACCTGTGAAACGAGGTGATTGATGCTCAAGAAGCCGATTCTGACAGCGAGGTATCCAAGTAGGTTATCCCAGTTATGGTTCAAGATGGAAGAGTAAAAGTAGGAAACAAATTTGAGGAATGGTTTGGAGGTGAGCCGAAGCCACAGAATGTCCTCCGGCCTGGTTCCAAAAAGGCGTCTTCCGAGCAGGAAGCCGCAACTCTCTCGTTCTTTCTCAAATTGAAGTGCACGCCGTAAACTAAGATGATTATTCTGGTCGGAATCGCAGATTTTGGTCTCCACCAACAACAGCATCGTATGTCGGTTTGATTGACGATAGTGGTGAACAGTATCAATGCCGCTGTTAATTCCATAGATGTTCGTGAAGGAGATTTTATTGTCGATGTCATTCCCTTGAGTCCACCTTCCACCCGGGCAATTCGAGAGTGAAGTGAGCTTACATTGGGAATTTTTAATACTCGAAGGATAAATTGTATTAGTTGAAACGGGGAAGGGGGAAAGTAGAAAAGCAACTGGACAGTTTAGGTGTGAAAGCATGTAGAAATTTTTAAGACCCTGGGAAAAGCTACCAAGCAATGAAGCATACACATTAAACATTTTGACAACTTGAAGTCCGAAATATTTAAATATACTGCTGACATTATTTCAATGCCGCTATGTCACTTAATCAACCGGATTTATATTTCTAATGATGTCCTAGAAGGGTTCAAAGAAGTTTTAGTTACACCTGTCCATAAAAAAGGTGATGTAAAAACTATAAATAACTATAGACCAATATCTGTCATCATAATTATAGCTAAAATATTTGAGAAAACATTGAAAAATAGGCTAGTTAAATTTTTGGACAAATGTAAATATCTTTCAGATAAGCAATTCAGTTTTCGAGAGGGAATATCAACCAAAGATGCAATTGCTAAGTTAACAGAAGAGATTAAGAAAAGATTAGAATTGAGTACACCGGTACTGTGCGTATTCTTGGATCTTGCCAAGGCCTTCGATACTGTGAACCACCAGCAGATATTGGAGCCCTTGGACGATGCAGGAGTACGAGGCGGACATTTACAGTTGTTTACAAGCTATCTCTCAAATCGAAAACAAGTAGTGAAGATTAGTGACACGTTCAGCAATGAAAAGACAGTTGATTACGGTTTACTTCATGGTACTGTGTTGGGTATAATCTTGTTTACAATTTAGATAAACAGCATTCTAACTTCTTCGTCAGTTGGTCAAGTATTTAGCTTTGCAGATGATACGGTAATCCTGTATGATGATAACACTTGGGAAAATGTAAAAATTAAAGCAGAGCGGGATCTAGGAACTATTTTTGATTATCTTGCTCATAAACTTTAAACCGTGAGCTATGAAAAAAATTCTTTATGCCTTTTTCTAATACAGTACGTGGTCTACCTCAGTAAGAACAACTTTTAATAAATCAAAGTATACCTTTAACATCTGTGAAAACCTATAAATAAGTAGGTGTCACCATTGATCGACACTTGAGATGGGATATTCATATAGCTAACATTACAAATACCTTACGACAACTCTTATATCGCTTTAAATACTTAATACATATTGTCATTTGCGGCCTCTGGATATACTGCAAAAAAGAATGTTGAAAGTAATATCTGGCAAAAAATTACTTATCCTTCTGATAAATTATCTTCAGAGACCGGAGTGTTTGACCTAAGGCAACTGTTTCTGCATGAATTAATTCAATTCATATACAAACATAAAAACAACTTCAATAAAACTAGCCATGCTTATACTCGTAGTACTAGATATAAAGAAAATCAAAACTTAAAAATAAAAACTTTTCAAAGAAATGTAAGCTTGCGATGCCACACCTACTTATCATGTAAAATTTATAATTCTTTGCCATACGTGTACCGTATGTATATTGATAAACTAAACTCACTGTCTTTCATAAAATCTTTATTTAAAAAATATATTTTTTTAATTGATAGACAAGAGACACGAAATCTAGTATAAATTATTTACTAGAAATCGTACTACGCTAGTATTACTTTCCACCTCACCCTCCATATTTTTTTAATTAGTGGAATAAACTTTATTTTATAAGTACTACTCCTCCTTACCTTTCATACTTACAATGTGCTTGATGTATAAAATCCTGCTCTAAGCAAAATTTATTATCAAAATTATATCAAAAAAAAGCTGTCCGTGCACAACCAACAATTTTGGTTTCAATGGGCTTTACAAGACAATTTAAAAACTTTCTGTGACTTACAAAACATGTTAACCTAAGATTATTTCGTGAAAGTCAGGTATTATGTTTTATTTTACGTTTATTATTGTACTGAAGTTAGCATTTGTATTTATTAAAACATTGTATTTTGGGGAAAAAATAAACGGATACTACTACTATTCCGTGTATAGTATATTGGTGTAAGCTATTTTTGTGGTTATTCGTACGCTTCCAGGGATATATAAAACCTCCAGTAGACAATTTTACGCTCCAAGGATCGATGTGGACTTTCCAAACCGGAAGGTTTTAAATTCGACTCTCACCATTGCGATTTCGGAAACGGTAAGATATACGAAGTCAATTAAATGTGGACGAGGTTGCGCATTTCCGGAGATAAACGAAAGTGACCGAAATTTCACTAAATAGGTTTTATTTTTGCTGGCTTGAGTTAGAATTTCGAAATAAGAACTATATTAACAGTGCCGCTTTTATCCTCTACAAGATGACATGAATAAAATTTCAATGTTCTGTCTCCTGTCCGCAATTATCAACTTTATTTTTTATCATAGAGGCAATATGGTTTTTTTGCACAGGTGGATATAATTTTTAATCATCACGCGGTATGTTAATTTTAATAACATACTGAACTGAATTTTTGACGAAAATAAGACTTCCATTTCGTTTATGTTGAGCGAACCTTAAGCAAACCGGGAATTATACGGATAAACACTATGAACTTCTTTTTTAGGTTTTCAAGAAATTTGTTTCATATATACGTATATCGAAGCAGCCGCGCAGGCAGAAGCCTAAAATGCCGGAACACCGCGGCTGCAAAGAAATTTTGTTAATACGACTTTTGAACTACCCAAAGTTAGTAGAACTGGGAAAAAAGCTTCCTCTTGTAGATTGTTCCACAATACCGACACCCGCGGGACAAAGGAGCAGTCGTATCGGCCAGTTCTGGATGTACGAAGTTCGACACGGTTAGGATGGGACGCCAAAGTCAGGCGGGTCTGCCTGGCAGGCACATCGCGCGGCGGCATCATGGAAGAGAGCTCTGAGGAGCAAAGCCTGTTGGTGTAGCGATAGAAAAGAGCTAGATCACCGACAGCCCGCTGGCGCGAAAGAGTCCCGAGACTGTCTGTTAGAGAAGAGTCATGATCAGTCGGACCGCGATCCTCTGGACAGCATCGAGCATGGATAATGTAGTCGGGGCGGCAGCACCCCAAACGTGTGAGCAATACTCGAGGCTAGGCCTTATCTGGGCCTTGTATAGAGTGAGAAGGTCATGCGGAGAAAAGTACTTCTTAGCCCTAAACAAATAGCCTAGCTTTTTCTCAGCAGCTACAGCTATTGACGAGATGTGTTCGTATCAGATCAGGTCCCCGGTGATCTGGACTCCGACCAGCCGAAATGCATGGCTCTTTGGCAGAACTCGTAAGTCCATCGAAGCTGGATAAGCGCTAGGACGCTTTTTGTTCGTCAAAGTACAGTACTGTGTTTTGGAAGCATTGAACTGTAAAAGATTGTTGCGTCCCCAAGCAGTGATAGCCTCCAGGTCCCTTGTCAGAGAGGAAGTCGTCGCTAGTCTTCTTTTTTTAAGCTCAGCGGCAGAGATCGGCATGTCACTCTCAATTCCTGCATGTAGAGTGCTGTCATCAGCGAAGCTGTGGATTGGGTTGATCGTGCAGAAAAATGAGGTCGTTGATATGTAAGAGAAACAGTGTCGGAGCTAAGACCGATCCCTGGGGAACACCCGTGTTGACGTTGTGGGATGAAGAGGAGAATCCGTCAATTACGACGGATATCTTGCGGTCAGAGATAAAGTCAGCCACCCATCAGCAAAACTTTTCTGGGAGCAAGTTTGCTTAAGAGGGCAGCGTGGCACAGCTGATCGAACGCTTTCGTGATGTCAAGAGCAATGACATGAGCTCGCCATAAGACTGGATGAGTTTACTCCACAATTGCGTGACGTAAGCTAGGAGGTCCCCTGTGGATCTTTGGTGCCGGAAACCATACTGCCTGTCGCTAATCAAGCTGTGACGTTCGAGGTAGTCCAGAAGCTCGCGATTTATGCACCTCTCCATCACCTTACTTATAACAGAAAGCAGAGCTTTAGGCCTTTAGTTGTAGTCTTAGATCCTTTTTTTGGGACGGGTTGGACATGAGCAAATTTCCAGATTTCTGGGAAGGTGCCGGATTCATAAGATATCTGGAAGAGACGCGAAAGAACTAGGGCAAGCTCCGCTGCACACCTCTTCAGTACAATGGCAGGAATCAAGTCCGGACCAGA